TGTTTTTAACTTTGACTTAAAAATATCCAATGACTTAGAATTTCTAACTTTGAATGATAATGCATTCCAGAGTTTAGGTGCTGCGCAACAACAATGACGACAACAACCTAAAGTGTATTACGTTATCCTTGAAGTACACATGATTTTGTTTTTAACAATGGATGTTCCTCTTCTTTTTATTTGTTTTGTTTTCTTCTGTTTCCCTTTTTATTTTTTGGATTTGGTTTTTTGTCTTGCTGTTCACAGTTTTGTTTTGTTTGCCTGATTTATTATTAATCAGAATTATGCAATATAATTATTGTGTTTACCTGATGAAACCAGCCAGTTGGAATTATTAACAATTCTCCAGCCTCCTGAGTAAAAGAAATAGCTTTTGCTCTCTGGAACTTTGGATATTGTTGGTAGTCAGGTTTAAAAGCATCTATTGGGCTAATAAGTGAAAAAAAAAAACAAAACAAAACAACAAAAACAAAAACAAACAATATTTGGGATACAGAGCTTGACAAAGAACAACTTGAGGTTTCACAAAGCCTCCAAATGACTCTAGTCAATCAAATTGCAAACCTCAATGTGAGCCATCATTTGGGACTAAACTAATAATGCAAACTACCACATAAGAAAAATCTCCAACACAATTGGATATAAGCAATCCAAATATAGAGCAGGAACAGGCAGTGATTCATTGCAATGGTGACTCCATTCTTGTAAATGGACAGCTCACGTGTTACAAAACAGTTGTGAAAACGTTTTATTTGTATCTGATCAAGTCAACTAAGATAAATTTAAAAAATAAAGAAGATAAATTAAATTTGCATTTTTGTGCCTATGGGCCTTCCCTCTTGGAAGGCCTTAAGCATCATGCACTCGTTTGATTTTGTTTCTCCTCAGCTTGTGATGATTAATATACGATAAACTGAATTGCAACATGATTAATGGCCAAATAACATAACTTAAATATCCTGCACATAAAAATTTATAGGAACCATAAATCTATTACTAGTAATAAAACATTTATTTTTTGTAAATTGTACCTGTTGTATTTCCAACAGTCCAGAGGAAACCCACATCGCTGATTTCTGACATATAATAAGTCATCTTGGCCTGGAGGAAAAAGCTACAGGGAAGATGAAACATTGACAGAAAATGAAAGTTACAAGGGGGTCCAACAGAAACTCATTGCCAATCATCAGACATAACTTATAAGTACCTTCCACATTTTCTTTCCTCTCAAGACAGCATTTGTACCAGTCCAGTTGTAAGGATCTAAATGAAAACCACATATGCTTTCAAATTAAAAATGCAGCCATCTTGGGTGTTTACTGTTGGGAATGTTGACTTCTGTGAAAACATTGAATCAAGTTCACTGACTCATAATTGATTGGCCTAGTGGCAAAATTGATGTATGCAACATTCTTTCAAATGTTAAGATTTTTCTTATTGAGTACTCAAGCAAGAATTCCTAGGGCATCAAAGTCTTGTGACATGTACATGTCATTAAGGCAACCAGGACCTCTCAAAAAGGCTTTTTAGTAATCTGTCAAATTAAATTCCTAGGCTCTACTGGGTTGTCATTTGGAGCCAGTAGGCAGTGGAATTCCATTGGCTATCAGCTAGACTATTTTTCCCAGTGTATTTTTTAAATTGCCATCAAAGGCATAAAAACGATTTTTGAACTAGTTCTAACATCAATGTCTGGCAAATAAAGTTTACTCTTTATGTCCCAGAATGCTGAAAATATTATGTCTCAGAGAGCATGCTCCTCACAACCCCATAGTAGGGTATGCTTCTAATGCAACACACCATGCTTGCTAGGCAAGCAGAATTCAGTTCAAACACCTTACTATGTTCAGATCATACATCTATGAAATTTCCTTGAGACAACCCTGCCACATATTGCATCTACACATATCAGACAAGGAATGTGATAAGTGCCATCCCTAACACATCACATATTTTGTAAATACAAAGGAAAAATGAGCACCAAACAGTTGTACCTTGTTTTAATTGTATCTAAAAGTAATAACAGTGTTGACAAAGAATAAAATTTATGATGATTTAAGGGGGTAAGTTTCTAATAAAAGTAACTGTGGCACTGTGTTGTTGGGGCATTGTAAGATAATCTGGTTTTCACAACTGATTTCACTGAAAAAGTAAGTTGACCACCATAAAGAGCCTCTAACTTAAGTCAGAGTGTTGCTAAGCTTTAAAATAATAATAATAATAATAATAATAATAATAATAATAATAAATCAACTTTATTTAAAGAGGGTAGACACATAACAGCTTGCGCTGATGTACCAGTGGCCCTCAAAAGGAGTCAATCAGTAGTTATCCTCAGTATTGTTACCCTCATGGCACTGACTTAGGAAAAATTAAATTAGATTAAATCAAAAAGGCTTGAAATGTCAGCTATAGAAACTTTCTACAGTGGCCAATTTATTCAATCAATTCAGGGGCATTGTAAGATAATCTGGTTTTCACAACTGATTTCACTGAAAAAGTAGGTTGACCACCATAAAGAGCCTCTAACTTAAGTCTGAGTGTTGCTAAGCTTTAAAAGGTATCAATCAGTAGTTACCCTCAGTATTGTTACCCTCATGGCACTGACTTAGGAAAAATGAAATGAAATGAAATTAAAAAGGCTTGAAATGTCAGCTATAGAAACTTTCTACAGTGGCCAATTTATTCAATCAATTCAGTTGTGACTTCATGAACATGGCAGCATGACATGAATTTTGCTAGTCTGTTAGATCAGCTCATAAACATTTACTGCTGATTTATTCATAGTATAGGCTGCTGTTGATATGATCATTATGGTGTCCAACTAGAGAGCTCCTGCTACCTCTTTTATCAACCCAATTGTGATGTCATGAACATGGCAGCCTGAAGTGAATTTTGCTTGTCTATTAAATCAGCTCATAAACGTTTACTGATGATTTATTCTTATCATAGGCTGCTGTTTAATAATATGACCATTACAGTGTCCAACTAGAAAGCTCTTGCAACCTTGGACACTGCGCACATCTCAACCTTATTTTTACGGCCAAATATTACCTTAGTTTATTTTTTTCTCTTTCTCTTATCTTTAATATAAACCCTGTAAATGTCATTCATAATCACGGTGAGAAATAAAGAATTGAATTGATAAAACCAAGTCATCAATGATGCAACCTTGGTCAACCTAACCAAATTGCTAAGCTTGAAAAGGTGCCGATCAGTGTAATTGTAACCTTCATGGCACTGCACTGACACACACAAAAAAATTAAGTTAAATCAAGGAAAACAAAACAGAATTATAATTATATCTTTATACCTATGTGAAGAGATGACCTTGAGTAGGCTGTACCCCAAAGAAGCATAGCATTCCATGGCCGAATCTCTTTAGGTAACAACTGGAAGAAGTCTTCTTTCAAGTACACCTAGTTAGTGAATGTATTTGAAATTAATTAAGAGATTCTTCAAAAACAAAAAAAAATTGTCATTACTCACACATTTCTTACTGTACTCACAACTGTACAGTCTAAAATAGCAGGCAGGTAGCTCAGTCTATTAAAGGCCTGGAAGGCCTTCCATTTCTGGGGGAGCGGATCATGATCTCTTGGGAAATTTAAAATTCTGAAGTTTTGTAAATCTGTTTTTCTGCATATAGAAGTCTCAGGTGACATAATGTTGCATGCGTTGTTTTTCCAAGAAGTCAATCTAGACAAATCTTAAGAGAATTATGTTAACACCAGTGCAACAGCATCAGTGTACAGATTTCAAGTGGAGAGTTCACTCAATACAAACTAGAAGATCTACCCACTACCCAGCTACTACTCAAACCCCTGATTTAAATATAATTTTTTTTCTATAATTCCATCCTTAACAGAGGCCATGTTACATTCACTAAATAAACAATGAAAAAGATATTAGCCTTTTTGATAGTTAATAATTAACAGAGTGACCGTGGTTTAGCATGGTCTGCCCTCTTAATGACGATAATATTCGTCATCAATGTGGCTGCATCTCACGAGTCCACAACATTCTGATCACTGTGATTGATGTCAAAAAGAGAGCAGACCCTGCTGAACCTGACTGTCAATTTTTTTAACCACAATATCAACGTCAAATAAAATAATTCTTTACCACTGCATGACACATCGGCGCAATCAGCATTGTCTGTACTCTTATCAACTACATCAAATTGGCCAATCAGATTGCAACATTACTGCCAATGATGGTAAAAAAATTAATCTAAAGATGGCTGTAGCATTAAGCCAATACTGCTGATACACTTATCTGCCACAGTGACTATATATCAACAGGAAAGTTCAAATTCATATATACTACACTTAAACTACTCACTGGCTGACCCAGGTCTTCTCTCAGTTCTGGATTCATCTCAATAAACAGTTCATCTTCCAAGTAAGTCCACAGCTCAGGTTGGCCTTCATGTACATGTTCAGCAAAATTCTTCAGGGGAACTGCAAATCCCTGGGCTTTGTTCAGAGGACCCTGGAAGGAATATTCAGAGTGAATAATTCAGTATCAGTTTTTTCATACTTGTAAGCAAGTGAGTGGAATTTACTAAACCCTGGTCCATGCAGCAAGTTGAATTTTTCTCACCCAACCTTGTACACAGTTTTTATCAAAATAGTATGTATTCAATGTTCATGAAGATATTGTGGAGATTTAAAGGGAGTGGCTGTGGTAGATTATGAACCATTCTCCACCCCTCCAAAGTGGCCTTGAAAATGGTTTGCTTTGAGGGGAACACAGTGTTTCAACAAAACCAGTGAGGGTTTGTAGCATACTTTCCAAGAGATGTCCACACACTTCTTGTGACTAAGTGGCATAGAAACTAAGGATAGCAAAGCTGTAAGACTTAAACTTCATCGGGTCTAATTTTGCACCTATACATGAATTGCATTCATTTGTGTTGTACAGCCATACACCTCCTGACCTCAGTGCCTTTCATTGACACTCTTTTGTCTCCATAGCTGCTCACAAGGAATGATTTTGTCCAGTTCATTGCTTTCCAGTTTTGCAATACATCAGTTATCACAACTGGTCTGAAAGTAAATTAAATATATAAATATTAAATAGATGAATATAACTAAAGTCAAGTCAAAATGACTCAGACCTCAGCTCTCTCTTAGACGATGGCTGCAGGGGCTGTGCTCTATATAATTCTTAATTCATGCATGATATGACTTAATTTTATTTTTAAGTAGGTAATATTCTTTGTAAATATGTTTATACATTTTATTTGTGTCACCACATTAGTATGGGATATCTCCCAAACTAGAAGGTTCTTTGACACGTTAATAAAGTTTCTATCTGTCTAATGCATCATAGTGAGAAAAAACAGGATGGAATGTACATATAGCCTCTAAGGCTTTTTTAAATCTGAAAATTGAGGATATGAAAAGGGGATCCAAGCTGCACTCTTTATTGAGTCTTAACCCTTTGAACTTACTAGGTGACTAGCATGTAATTTCTCCTCACAGTATCCCCCCTGAATCACACATTCAGGTCATGAGAATAAAGAAAATGATCACCAATAAAAGAAGCTCTTGATTGTTCCACAAATTCTCCTTGCTAGCACCCCAGGAAATGTATGAGAACAATAACAGTAGGGTGCAATGGGTTAAGGCCTGCTTGGTCCTAAAGCGGATAGTAAGATGTGACTGCTGCTCCACCCTCAGCAGAATGTTAGCTAATAACAGACACATGCACTCTCCTGTGATTTCTGGAATAAGTTACCCCAATCTAGTGCCGGTACCCATACTCAATCGTGGGTTGGTAGGAGGCTGTCAGAATTAGGTGTTTTACCATTATGAACATGGCACAATGAGTCAGCTAAGGGTTAAACAAACTCCTAGTATCTCAAACACTAGATCATTAGGTCTCTCCCTAGCCCCCCCCCCCCCCTTAAAAAAAACAACTGATGAAAATGAATCACAATGACATGCAACCAGAGTTGCCCTTCTATATTTCTCACTACACCTCGAGTTCGTGTCATGGTCGCATATAAATATATCGATCGAAAGCTTTAGGAGAAAAGCTGCCTATATATATATATATTAATGATCAAGTTTCGGACACGACTCTTTTTCATTCTAATTTTCTCTTGACAAACGAGGCGTACCTTCTTGCGTCATAACAACGAATAAACTCCACTAGAGTTAGATTTGAACGGTGATCGATGGTAAAGTCGTTCCCAACGGAACACGGAAGTTCCGCATGTTGCTTTAAAGTTCCAGATGAGCCCGCCATGATGGAACTCCAAGTTCGCGAGAAGAATTTACTATTGCTATCAAAACACAACGAGACTATTCCAATCAGCAACAGAACAGTAAAAATAAAACATCCCCAAAGCCACTGATTGTGTAGAATTTGGCTGGTTTTCCCAAGTGTCGACGATAGGTCATCATTCAAAGTTGTAGACGAATTATCAAAATTTGATTCTTTGAAATAGGTCGACGAGGAAGATTTCTTTTTCTCCCGATGTCGAAAAGATGAACCCTTAGCCATCATGCACAGCAAAACAAAACTCTAGCCATTACATTCTGTTCAATAGGACTTCTTCTCGTTGCCCTCCATATTAAATCTAACTCGCTATTTTTGAAGACAAGGTAAGGACTGACCCTCTGTCAAATTACGGCGATGTTGATTTCAGAAACAATCGTGACTGGAACCTAGTCATATGACTACAACAAAAAGTTGTGATTGGTTCAAATTCTCTCCTAGTTTTAATCTATTTTCGCGCTTATTTTCAAACATGGCGGCTTGAAGAGGCACAGAGATCTTAGCCCACAACAACAAAAGTAGATAGCTTGTGGATAAATTCACCTCGACGACATGCAGAGATCTTCTCGTATGCAGCGTGAACTGAGCATTCTAACGAAGGAGCCACCGCCAGGAATCTCTTGTTGGGCGGTAGATCATCAAATTGACAAACTTCAAGCAGGTTTTTGAGCTGAAGTCTCTCTCCCTTAAGGCGGCGAAATACGAGATACAAAAACCCTCAACTTGGCGCGCAACATTGTTTCGTTGCAAGTTTTGGTCGATGTTTCTCGTTTTTCACCTTGCGTGATCAACTTGTCTCGCAACAAAAACATTTTTTGCAGGTTGAAGAAATTTTGTCGGTCAAAGTTGACCCGCGCTCTACTTTTCGCAACAAATTTCTTCAACCTGCAACAAATGTTTTGGTTGCGAAACAAGTTGATCACGCAAGGTGAAAAACGAGAAACATCGACCAAAACTTGCAACGAAACAATGTTGCGCTCCAAGTTGAGGGTTTTTGTGTCTCGTATTTCGCCGCCTATATGAACAAAAAGCTCCCAAGCCTTCAAGATTTATACAATCCTGAAAACTTGACGCAAATGTAAATTCCCTACGAAACATTTGCTAAAAGACGTTTTTTCTTTTTTCAGAAATTTTAGGTTCAAAAGACACCCCTTATACTGGAGGCTGCTTTAGGCTGGAAATACAAATTCCCGAGCGGTTAGTGTGTGGTAGTGGTATTATTTCTTTAAGGCCAGCAGTGTTCTCGTCAGAAGGGGGTCCCAGCACCAGGATACGCAATTGTCAGTCCCTTCCTGTCTTCACATGGGACATTAAGGTGTTCACTTTCAGTTTTAATCGTTTACACCCTAAGATTGGCATTTATATTGTCCAAACTTCTCTCTTTACATTTCCTATGGCAGCAACAAGGAGAATTTGTTAGACAATCAGTGGCTTCACTATATACTCATGACCTTTACATTTGATCCAAGACTGATACTGTAAGTAGAAATTAGAAGCCAGTCATTATTAGGGGATAATTTTCACTTGGCTACTTTCTTAAGAATGCTTTAGCACTTAAAAATGCAGTGAAACCTCAGCACCAGACTCTTGCACAACACAAACAATATTTTGGGCCTTCTTGTGAAGCATCACTTTTTCTAATTTTTCTATACTCAAAATCTTGCACCAGGCAAGTCAAAACTACGCACTTTGTGACTAATTGTGCCACAATGTAAAGGATTTGATTTGCTGATGATAATTGATTGACCTACATTACCTATAGGTATCCGTTTCAACCTCCTAAAGTTCGCTTTGTCACAAAAATCTACCATCCCAATATTGATGGAAGCGGTAGGATCTGCCTGGACACTCTTCAGATGCCTCCAAAGGTGATTAGACAATAGGAACAGATTTATCTTAACCATGATAATACCAATTTAACAGTACCACTGAAGCTCCTCCCTAAAAGAGATGCAGCGTGAAAGATTGTGAAGCTAAAACCATATAGGTTTTATCTCTTTCATAACAATGCATACTTGAAATTTTGATGCCTGCATTTTTAGACCCCAAAACTTATACCCCATTCACACCAGAAACCTTGTTTAGTTAAACCAGGTTTAACTGAATAAAAATCAGAAGTAGAGAACTGAAAAACTAAATTTTCCACAAGATTCAAGCAATTGCTAAATTGTATTTTCAATGTGCCACATTTGAAGTCAACCAAATATTGATTTGAGCAGCTTCTATGGAGCTGTTGTGTTAAACCCTGTTTAACAAAACAGCTTTAAAGCATGTTTGGGCTTTGGTGTGAATGGGGTATAAGTCAAATGCATCAACTGATAATATCGAGATGAAAGTAAATGAGGTAGCAGGTCACCTTAAATAGTTATGATAGCAAACTAATTGAGTGATCATTATTATCGATATAAGCATATCTTTGAATTTTAGGCCACTACTGGCACAAAATCGAGTTTAAAATAAAATAGCTTCAGTTTAGCTTAGCTTTAGCCTGCAGTACAGGCATCATGTTTGGGCGAGTTAACGTTAAGAAGCGCGCGATCGTTTATTCAACCGGCCACTGAAGCTCCTCTTTAAAAGAGATGCAGCATGAAAGATTGTGAAGCTAAAACCATATAGGTTTTATCTCTTTCATAACAATGCATACTTGAAATTTTGATGCCTGCATTTTTAGACCCCAAAACTTATACCCCATTCACACCAGAAACCTTGTTTAGTTAAACCAGGTTTAACTGAATAAAAATCAGAAGTAGAGAACTGAAAAACTAAATTTTCCACAAGATTCAAGCAATTGCTAAATTGTATTTTCAATGTGCCACATTTGAAGTCAACCAAATATTGATTTGAGCAGCTTCTATGGAGCTGTTGTGTTAAACCATGTTTAACAAAACAGCTTTAAAGCATGTTTAGGCTTTGGTGTGAATGGGGTATTAGCTAGTCATTCTAAAATTGCTCTTAAAATTGCTGCTTATCTGTGTAGTAACAAAGTCTCATTTTGAGAGCCACTTGTAAGGTTAGCTCTTGGTTATGAGTGTTTCATCAAGAAAGCTGGATATTTCATCATTTATAGCTTTAAAATGTTTTTCAGGGAGCTTGGAAACCAGCTTGGAACATTTCTACTGTGCTGACATCAATCCAGCTTCTCATGGCAGAACCAAACCCAGATGATCCTCTTGTTTCAGAAATTGTAATGAGTGTTAATTGCTAAAATACACAGTTTTTAATCGAATTTTTGTTACTTGAATATCAATCCAGCTTCTCATGGCTGAAATGAATGTTGCAAAATACACAGTATTTAATCAGTTTTTTCTTCTAGAATTGTACATATCATTTACAGTGGCTGTTTTGGTTCACTTTTCTAGTCTGATGAATACAAGTACAACAGACCACAGTTTATTAAAAATGCAAAGGAATGGACTCAGAAATATGCAACTGGTCAAAAAGTAACTGCTGCATCAGTTAAGGTGCTTGCTACCAAGAACATGTTAATACTGGTAATAGTATCAAGCAGAGTCTCACTCAGTTTGTAATCTTAACAGTGATTGACAAAATAAGAACAATGGAAAAGGGGGAGTCTGATAATGACAACCATGGATATTTGATTACTGACTGCATTGGACTTCATGAAATTCTGTTACCAATTAATTTTAGGTCTTGCAATTTCTGAGAAAAACGAATTGAAAGAAGGAACTGTGATTACAATTACAATCTTTGAATAATTAATCATAACAATATCGCCAATGAAATATCAATTTAAAGGAGAGATGGAAAACAATGGCATCTTTTCAACAATCCTGTTATATTATCCTGTCTGATCTCAGGAGCAACCAATGAGTAATTTTTTGAGAACAATATCAGTATTTTGCCAAGCAGACAGGTGATGACAGTGAAGAAAAGAGTGCATGGACTATGAGGCAGTATGGTTAATTACTCTGACACTAAATTATCAGCACCAACATTGTAAGAAATATCAGGCAGAGAGTAAAGAATATACACCGAATCGAAATATGGCGTCCAATTTGAATTGCCATTGTTCTGGACTTACTAGCCTCTCACACATGTGATAATCCTTTTGTGTTTCCACGTGAAGATGAGGCTAATAAGTCAAAAACAATGGTAATTCAAATTGGACGCCATATTCTGATTCGGTGAATAAGTGACAAAAAGTATTTAGAATCCATTCCATCAATAGCCACGGCACTGATTTTATGCTTTGAAATAGTGATCGCTGTTTTAGTGTTGTTCCACTGATCACTGAGGGCCTATTGTGGTAAACACCTAAAATTAGAGATGATCTTGGCAGGGGTTTCATTAAGGGCCTGGGCACCAGGCAAATTAACTGGTCTTGAGGACAGTTTTGCCCATCAGGAGGAAAGTTTTTCTTATGAAGAAGTTCAGTTCAAAACGTTTTGCCTGCCTGTGAAAACCAGTTGCCCTCCTGGTTAGAGGGTTATCATCACTGATGTTTTTTTTTATTTGGCTATTAATGTGAACATTTTTGTACCAGTTAACACACCAGGCTTGATTTATTGTAGAAAAGCTTTGTGGGAATCTCTTGAGGTTATGTTTGTGTATTGCACTGTTTTATTTATTTTTTGGATCTGTCTAATTCTTCTTGCAAGCAAAATCCTAAATAATCAGCTGCCTGAAGAATCCTTAATGTATTTACCTCAATCCAGAAAGAGTGCCTTAAAATACTGTTTTATTTACAGGATTCCCTAAATCAAGCAAACAAAGAAGCTGAGAAAAACAGTGACTCGGAAAGTGACACCAGTGATGAGTCTGAAAATGAAAACAAGCCCCATACCCACCCCACCCAGGGTGTCAAGAGGGCATCAGCTGCACAACTCCCTGGAAAAACCAAGGCACTCAGACCAAATAATTATTAGACAGGCTTGCAAGCTTACAAAAAGGAAAAAGAAAAAAATTGAAATGAATGTTGAACAAAATTATCAATAAGGGGTTACATGCCTTTGCTTTTGTAACCCCATAATAATGCGTGGTTTAATGTACATGTAAAGTGTGGTTTTCTTGCAAAAAATACAAACCAAAGTTCAGCTGAACAATGGAGATTTAGTTATTTTATACTGCAAAAAAGTAGGCCACAGATAAGGACCAAAACCTTGGAGAGAAACAAGTGACCTTTCTGTTTACCATTTGATTCAAACTGCTTGTGGTGTCGCAGTTTTTAATTGTACTGGCACAGACTCAAATGTACAAGTAGAGTTTACACCGAAAGTAGACAGATCCAACGTATCCAAAAAGTCTTTAGGCTAAGCAGCCAAGCCTGAAATATCCAGGGATACCCGGATATAACACTGCTTGTCATGAAAATCAAGTTAGAGAAAAGTTTTCTTGTACATACTTGAAGAAGTTGCTAGAATGCAGTCATGAAGACATGAAATGGTGAAGAGGACTGTAGTATGCTCAAAGTTGTACAGAGGAATCCTGTTCTGATGTTGTAGTAACTAAAGAAAGAAAGAAAATGACAAAACGCTGTTGACTCGTGTGTTCACTGAAAAATTGGAGAAGCAAAGTACATTTTGTGAAATGCTATATACTGTTTGTTAGTGTTGATCTGATAGTGTAACTGAAGTGGCAAGAGTGTACTCGTTAGTTTTAATGGTGTTTTAATTGAAGTAAACTTGCCTCACACCAGCCTTTGCCAACTAAATCTTGTTGGCAATTCACAAGGCAGAAGCAGCTTAAAGACTGCAATCACTATTGAAAGTGGTGGAGATTTTTTCCAAAGGCTAGGTTAAATTTAAATCTTAAGGGCAAAAACCAAACTTAGGTCCATTTTTTTCCAAAGGCTTTGCTAAATTTAAATCTTAAGGGCAAAAACCAAACTTAGGTCCATTTTGAGGGTAGGCTCTCTCCTCCAGACTTGTCTCTAATGTCCTGGGCATGGTTGTTCAAAAAGTGGATAACACTATCCAACGGATAAATCACTATCCAGCGGATAAGTTTTACCAAAACGTACTGCGCTATCCACCGGATAGAGATTTTTCCATTGTATAGCGTTATCCATCCTTCGAACAACTGGGGCCTGGTGGGCAAAGAAACATTTGTCCTGATAAGGGCTTGCTTGCAGGCTAGTTTGATGCAGCACATTTCTAATTGTTATGATTCTATCTTGTTTTGTTTTCAATTTTATTTTCCTTTTTCTGCTTGCCATTAAAACATTTATGAGCTGTAAGAGGTAAATGGATACAGCTTTTTATAAAGATGCACATGGCCATAAATACCAAAAACTAGACGACAACAGACTTTAATTTAAAATACTTCTTTATTGTGATCTTACTGATGTTCCTTATCGAAGATACACCCCCGCGGAATAATTTATATCTACAGAACGCAACGCTAGAAAATATGACAATTTATCTCTCATTTCAAAGTTTTTCAGTTCAAACCAACTAAACTGAATTCTATTTTCCCCCAAAACCAGCCTCACCTCATTCAACTCTCCTATAGAAAAAAATTGCTCTTAAACTGAGGTTTAAATAATATTATGATTTACATTTCCCCCTTGCAAATATGTCCTGAAATTTCTCAAATAAGACAATGCACAGCCAAAAATCTGTACAACTTTGCTAATTTATCGGATACATAACAGCTCTATACTTGCAAACAAACTCAAGTGCTAGAAAACAAAGAAAACGTTTTCAAATGCCATTGTAGAAAAACTTTTGCAGTTGTACTGCTCTAATTCGACTATAGTTATGTCTATAAAGATGTGAAAAAAAGTACAACTTAGCTTCATTTTCACCTTGTAATTCTATGCTAATTCTTCGCTTCATTAACCAATCAGAATGCGAGATTTTATTTAACTGTGCAATTCTAATTTGAACTCTCATTGGCTCTTGAAAGTATGTTCCTTGCTTCTGATTGGCTGTTGAGGTTGCTTTGGTTTTGCTTTCATAACACTTACTTGAAAAGCTCTCTAATGAAAAGATAATTAAAAACATAAATTAAACATAAATAAACTCGACTTTCCTCCATGACAACTTGATTTGCACAATAATTCACTATCACTTTCTTTGGTTATAGCCCCTTGCGGGCTTATCCAGCACTTGTAGACAGAAATTTATTTTTGGGGTCTAAGACCCTAACAAAATAAGATCGTCATGAACAATCAACAAACGAAACGTTTTCAACATTCGTCTTTACAAATATAAACGTACAACGCTATTACCTCCTCAATTTGTTCTAGTCGATATCTATACTATTGCTTATTTTAAGTTACACTATAAATAATTATAATACTTATTAGATAAATAAAACATTAGTCTTTTGTCGTGGTTTGATACCAAATTTGGACATTTTTTTCCCTTGGTTTCCGTAATGGAGATGGTCACATTTTTATCGTTTTGTACATCACGAAAGTGTGGCGGGACGAAGAGCTAACATGCGTAGAAATTGTCCCTGAAAGGAGGCAAAACGATCATTGGTCTGGCATTTGGCATCCAATCAAGTACTTTGGCTTCTCATAGCGATTCACAACGGCTTTCAGCACCAGTCAATTGTCTTCGCCGAGGCTCTACCAATACTGAACTTGGTTCCAATTGGGTCATGTTCCCCAACTGCGACTGAGAAATAGTCAGGTGATCATCGTTTGTACATTCCAGCAAGGGACAAGGATTTGACTTCATCATGGATGGAGTCTGATCTTAGTAAGAATCGAAGGTCCTTATACCTGTGCACACGAATTGGAAGTTGATAAGAAAAGAAAAGAAAAAAGGAAAAAAAAACTCGTGTTTTACACTTAGTAACGAATGGTTCACTTGAAAGAGTATTCTTGCCCTTCTTCAACAGTACGTTAAGCAAATTGAAAATAATGACTCCACGTAATATTTGCTGACAAAATGGTTACTCGCATTAACCACTCGTAAATCCAAAATGGTCGCTCATGCGCATCTCGACTTCTCTGGCATGACGCAAAAACTACTTCAAACTCCCACACTTTGACAGCGATATTGGTAAGTTGTAGGATTCGTCGATTATTCAGAACGTTCACGTTTACAGGGTTAAAGGTTTATAAGGTTTGAAGTCAACTAATTATCAAAGATGTCAGAATTGGGGGCACAAAGGCGGACGGGAGAGCTCGCACTTCACGCCCTAGTTTCAAGGTATACGCAGATGACACTGCCCAGGCGAAAGCTTGGGGAGGAGGCTACAAGTCATACCGAATGCAAAAGCAGGATTATGAAGTCTTGGGTATTCCCCGATTAAAAGTAAGAGACCATCAACAGAGCCTAACAAACCGATCTCCTGGCGTATGATTCAACCAAAGAAAGTTTGAGAGAGGTATTTCAAATTACAGGGAATAAAATTGTTCCACCACAGAAATTTTGACAGAGAAATTTCAAATTACAGTGACAGGAAAAAATATATGAGTAAGGGTTTGAAGATTAGCATACCTGACGACACGACACCAAGAACTATTATTTACAGCATTTCTTTTTCCCAGGTTTTTCTTCCACGAGATTCAAAACACTCTGCATTAATTCGTCTTCCCTTACTTGCAGCATTCTAAAGCAAGAAAGAGATGCAAGGGTTATTCGAGACAAGAAAACGGATTCAGAAATCAATACGATAACGAAGATTCCAAACTCTCCACGAGATTCAAAACACTCTGCATTAATTCGTCTTTTCTTACTTGCAGCATTCTAAAGCAAGAGAGAGATGCAAGGGTTATTCAAGACAAGAAAACGGATTCAGAGTTCAATAAGATAACGAAGCAAACTGGTGTACTCACTTGGAAAATTCCGCCATGGATTCTGGGATATTATACCCCGTTTTAGCGCTTGTCTCAGAATACAAGGCTTTATATTCCTGTAAGGTAAGTGGATGAAGTGATAAGGCAAAGGATTATTCTTTAATAATTTGTAAATAAGCTGGTTGTTAGGACGGATAAAATGATGGACGGCCGGTCAATCAGACAAAGTGGGTCAGCCAGGCAGCAAGTCTGTCTGTCACTGACTCTGTCAGTCAGTCAGATCATAGTCTGTCTATTGTTGACTCTGTCAGTCAATCAGATCATAATCTGTCTTTCTATAACATCAAGAAATTGTTTAGATATTCTAGTCATCTCAGATAGGGACGAATAAATGGAGGTCCCGTCTCCTGCAGGGTTGGGGTCATCCTCGGAGACCCAGGGGCTGTGGGTCGATTTCAAGTTAGGGCATGAAGAGCCCCTGGGGACATTGTCTTACAAGACTAGTTCCAAACGGTCGCAATCGTTCTGCCATCTGATTGGTGCCAGAAAATCTTTGTGTTTTTCTGCCCAATCAGAGTGAAGTGTGCTTTAGAGTCCTTTCGTGTGTTTTAAGATTAGATTTTGGCGCGCACGGAAAGCAGAAAGTTATGTAGGCGAAAGCGCTNAGGGCTCTTTGGCTTCCGGTTTGGAAAGAGTTTAATCTTTCAACTGCTGCCTAGAGTGTTGAAATTCTTGAGCTAGGAAGGCCACGGATTCTCTTCTAGTCCCTTGGTCATTGTCATTTCACCTCTTCTGTCGATTGTTGAAGACCAAGTTAAATACCTTTGATCATTGGGAATCGATCCGATGCTGCTTTCAATGGGAAAAACAAAACCAAAGACCAAGAAATATTGGATGGAAAGGGCGGGTTTGCCTTATTGCAAATGTCAGCTTAATAGTACAGGGTCATCTACCCACATCTAATGAGCAAAAGCTTCCACGCTTAGCTTTTCTTTTCATTCAAGCGAAGATGAGATTAGATTTTGGCACGCACAGAAAGTTGCGCAAGTACCAGTTGCTCGACATACCTGCGTGGCCCGTGCGACGAAATAACTTCACGGGATTGGCAAAGTTTCAGTCACAGCAAATTATGCAAAAAATCTAGAAGGATTTAAGCTTAAATCTCGTTTAACGTTTAAAGCGACATTTCAATGACTGCAACCACCGTGTTGTATACAAACCTCGCAAACTTTAAACACGTTCTCTAGTGACACCTGCGAAAGTATTCAATATAATTTCCGGTAAGATTTTCGCGGACAATCTGATCGATTTCTCTTACATCGTGTGCTGAGACTGAAACTTTTCACCTCAATCAAATCTCCGTTGCACGGCCCAAACAAACACAACGAGCAACTGAGCAATTGGTATTTGTCCGTGTTACAACACACGAAAGGACTCCAAAGCACACTTCACTCTGATTGGGCAGAAAAACACAAAGATTTTCTGGCACCAATCAGATGGCAGAATGACTGCGACCGTTTGGAACTAGTCTTGTAAGACAATGTCCCCAGGGACTCTTGATGCCCTAACTTGAAATCGAGCCACAGCCCCTGGGTCTCCGAGGATGGGTTGGGGTAGGAGACGTTAATTTCCCACGCACGAGATAACTGTGTGATGGATGTCCTCCCCTGGGGTGGGATGGGTGGGTTGTTGTCTTGCGTTTCATACATGAGCCTCTGGCTCGGGAAATATGGGTAACCATGCCCCACGTAAAGACATAAACTTTGATTACTACTGACTCTGTCAGTCAATCAGATCATTCAGTTTGTCAGTCAATGACCAAGTAAAAAGTTACTGAATCGGTCCTACAGTCAGTCAGTAAAACAGAGAGCTAGCAAGTCAGCAAGTCAGCAAGTCAGCAAGTCAGTTAGTCAGTTAGTCAGGAAGTCAGTTAGTCAGTTAGTCAGTTAGTCAGTTAGTCAGTTAGTCAGTTAGTCAGTTAGTCAGTTAGTCAGTTAGTCAGTTAGTCAGTTAGTCAGTTAGTCAGTTAGTCAGGAAGTCAGTTAGTCAGTTAGTCAGTTAGTCAGTTAGTCAGTTAGTCAGTTAGTCAGTTAGTCAGTTAGTCAGTTAGTCAGGAAGTCAGTTAGTCAGTTAGTCAGGCAGTCAGTCAATTAATGAATCGCTTGAGAATGTACCTCAGCTAACTTCTTTCCTTCCTGACTCTGCACTGCTCGGTGGGTGTCATCCTCTACCAGATCAATCTTGTTACCAACAATCATGATTGCTGTGCCGTCATCCGTTCCTTCCTGACACACGTGTACGCATATGAAATAATTATGAATAAACCTGGTATGTGGTCTAGTTTGCCAACGATTACTTTGTAGTTCAGTTTCCAGGCGATTCAAACAAGAAATCAGAAGTAACTAAAGCCCAAATCCGACGGGGAATCGCATTTTTGTTTTTGTTTTTGTTTTCCCGTATTCGTGACAAATCTCCAGCATGTTTCTTCTTAGATTAACCCTTTCACTTCCAAGAATGACCTTAACCCTTCAATATCCCTGTAAGTGAGTAGCATTTCATATCTCCTTTTAGTATAATTTCAGTCCTGAGCAAAGAGTTCCCAGCAATCTGATTGATCGAGCGGTTCCTTATATGACGTTATATAAATCGCTCCGCGCGGTTTATATAAAGTGTTAAAATAAAATGTTAATAAATGTTACTAAAATGTTATGATTTTAGAAATTTCTTTGTTGTTCAGCTCTGAAATTAAACTAAAACAATTATTCGCCTCAGGTTCGGTGAATATTGCCGAATAATCCCCTCGACTTCGTCTCGGGGATTATTCGACGATATTCACCTCGCCTTCGGCGAATAATTGTTAAATATAGTATCATCCTTGAATCAGATATAAAGGTCACGAGAATAAAGGAAGCGATCACCAACAAAAAGAAGCTCTTGACTGTTTCACAAATGCTCCTTATCAGCACCTTCAGTAACACAGAGAGATCAGTACAGAGAATATGCATACTGATACCAGGGTGTAAAGTATTCAACGATATTGTTTGACTCTACGACAACTTTTTCTCGCATATCAGATTATAAGAATTGTATGGCAGTGAAAAGAATTTAATCTTCATTGTTACTTGGTTAAGATTAAGTAACGAAACCAGCAGTTCGCTAGTGTTTGTGACAAAACAATAATCTTAGAAGAATTAGGTTATTTTCGAAAGCCTTTCTATTCTAAACCATCACACACCATATTGACCCTCTTCTTCCTTAAGGCAAAATAGACCAATTACCTCCACGCTTATCATCCAGTTTTTGATATTCAGAAACGACGTTTCCATGGTTATGTCATAAAACACAATCACTCCGTCTGCCTTCCTGAAGTATTGTTTTGTGATGCTTCGAAATCTGCCAGATAGAAAAAAGATGGTATAATATCAATCTAACACTAATTGTTTTATGCCGCAAGCTTAGACCTGAATTATAGGTGGCATTCTAGTGTCGTAACAGTGTTCTCTAAGTCAGAAACATACATCAAACAGATTCTATGACGTCGTGCATCTGTTAACTAATAGGTGACGTCTATTGTATCAAGAAATTAACACATAGATTGTATGTTGCCCTACGTCTATTCAGTGATAGATCAAAGTGTCAAAATGTAGTAAGAACGAAAAGGTAACAATCGAGGCATATTCGGGTTTGCCATAGACGTTTTGAGGGAACATTTATCAAGTACGCACCTCTCCTGGCCTGCAGTGTCCCAGAGCTGCAGTGCGATACATCTGCCATCTATATTCATCGTTTTGATTTGGAAGTCGACCCCTGGACAAGTCAAACAGCATGGTGTGAATGAGTTACAACGCAATTTTGTCATCATATTAATCATAAGTAAACAAAAAACCACCCTTTGCTGGAAAAGATAGAAAAAGGAGCACTTGGTGCAGACATTCCTGAATCGCCCAAAAGACTCAATTTACCGAAAAGAAAATTCAAGGTTTCAACTCTCTTGTGGCAAAGTGCCTAGCCTTCTCCAGACCTAGTTTTTTTTTTTCTTATTTACACTACAGGCAACGTTGGAAAGCTTCTGTACAATGTGGTAAGTTATCACGAAATAGATCCGTGTGGAAGGGTCATTCGGATAATTAAAACTGTCTTCTTTGGAGTGCATTTCGATTTAGCGTCGTGAAACCATTACCATAAAAACGACAACAGTCAATAAAAAAAAGAAAAGAAAAAAATCTCAAGAGAGCAATGAAAACTCAAAGAAAAAACAAGCAAACTACCTAACGCGCGCGAAACTCGAGTGACCAACTCTGGATTCGTGTTAGTTTTGCATTTAATTGGCTGAGAGGGTAGCAAAAGTTTACTAAGCCAATCCCAGAATTAAGTAGCACAAAACCCAAGCAATCCTAGATCACTTTCGACACTCAATGAATACTGCTCTCCTTTTGAGGGAAAAGCTTACTTGACTTGTGATTGGCAGTACCACACTGCAAACTGTGTCATCAACTCATTACCTATTGTTGCAGTGAATGAAGGTCTCCAAGCGTCATGGCAAAACCGGTGGATAAAACTCGACTTTCCTACACCAGAGTCGCCAACAAACACCACTTTGAACACTCTCTCTGGTGTGGCATGTTCACTAACAGCTGATACACCCGCTTCACTCATGTCCTGCTGTGAGTTGAGTTGAGTTTCAGGAGGAAAAAAAAATAGCAAGCGTCGGTAAGAAAAAAGGAGGTTATTAAAATCATTCGGGATGAGGATTATGCAAACGGAATCTTTAGGAAAGAAACCAGAATCAAGGAAATAATCACACACCAATTGCTTGTGCAACATGAAAAAGTCGCTGACCGTTGAAAAGTTAGCTGAGACGAGTGTAACTAAGATTTGAAGTAAAACAATTGCATAATAAGAAAAGGTCACTTTCTCATGAACAAAACTCCATAGAAACATATCAGTATTGTTCCACCTTCCTGAGAAGTTCAAGGTGACTTTAATTTTAGGCGAGCTTTGGCAGAAAAGGTAGTTTAAGAAAATTCTATAAAAATTCAAAATTGAGTTAAAATATCATTGCGAGCTGCAGACGAGCTCTAAGGACAGGCATACAGAAAATAAAAAATCGGAACCGAAGAGCGAAACCAAAACTGCAGCTGAATGATTGGAAACAAATTTAGGGGAACTTAACAGATATAAACTATAACCAAAAGAGGGAAAAAAACCTTCTAAACAATCGCCAAACTATGAGATGGTTACAAACTTACTGATCCTACTCGACTCATTTCATTGTCCTTTCCGACAGGCGCAGCGCGCGGGGAGTTTGGTCTGTCGTCTGTCTCACTGCCAGTTTCCCCGCTCATTCCCTCAGAATAAGACATGTCAGAGTCATCTTTGCCTTTCTTTATCTTGTTAGTGGCTGCAACAGGAAAGCATGCACCGATTTACAACAGCCGATTGACAAGTAGTCCTTGGTTTTAAAAGCACAATTTGTTACAAAGACATGAGCGCAAGGAGTTCAATGCTGATATAAGAAACCTGAGAATGAAGTCTTAGTTTATGATACTACAAATTCCACACTGCTTTACGTCAAGTAGTGTTCGTTGCAATTGAGAAAAAACGAACTTCAGCTGTTAGACTTTAAGGAGTTTGGACATTAACAGGGGCGGACCCAGGAATTTTTGATTGGGGGGGTCCACACTTTGGTTCAGAAAGGACTGTTGGACTCTTTTGAGGCAAATTACTTCTTCCCAACACCCCTCACACCCCCTCCCACCAGTCGCGGTTGGACGTTATAATTCCTTGGCCGCTTACCGTTTACTTGGATTCAGTAATTAAAAAAATCAGCCAGTTAAAAAGTGATATACAATCCTGTCGATGTAAGAATTTCAGTCTCAAAGTTGTAAGCGTCAGGTATGTTAATGGGGGTCCGGACCCCCGGGACCCTCCCCCTGGATCCGCCACTGATTAAGTAGAAAATATTTGTACTTTCTGTGGAAAGGAGGTATTGTATTTTTCTATATTTCCCACAGATCTGTACAGGAATTAAAGGTCAAGTAGGCGAAATCGGAGACAAATGTTTCCGCCGTTCGCTTTTGCTATCAACTTGGTTTAAAATCTGTCCGCCATCTAGATTATAGCGATTGGAATAAAACCAAGCGAACAGTAATAAACTGTTCCTGATTCATGGATACACGTGTAAGAATATCTTACCAGCCCCAGATATCAACTCAGTTTTTCTTGTTCTGAACACGTCCTCTTCGAGTTCTTCGTCGCTTGCCCTCATTTGTGAATCTTCTCTCTCTTCTTCGACAAGTTCTAAAATGTAAGGTGTTGTTAGATTGTGTGCAGTCGGTTTTCCTCGATTCTCATTTTTCACTTTTGAAAGCAGCAGTGCAGCACAAATTCGTTTTGCGCCCCGACAGCATTTTTAAAAGATTGGTTTTCCTTTACAAGGAGGCATACCGGCATGCTAACCGACCACCAATACGCTCACTAGCAGAGACTGAAACTATATGGTATACCAGCCTAATGTGATAATGATAATGAAATCTACATTAACCACTCCCAAAGAGGGCTGTTATGGCCGTTGCACATAGAAAGAGGGAAACGAATATACTAAATAGAAAGTGTACTTAAAAATTCCAACTGGTAGAAGAAGGTATAGTATCAGTTGAACCATGGCTAACCGAGAAAAAATCCATTAACTACTAGGGAAAAGGTATTGAACAAAGGACCACCAGACAAAAGTCCAATCCCCAAAAACCTCGGTGACTCTTCCTCTTCATAGCATGACTTTAACTTTGTTTCTGTCATCTCACAATTTCATTAGATCGACTTTCGTTGGATCTCAGCGGCATACTGGATGTTTGCTTAGGCCTAAGATACCTAGTTGCATGGCATGGCTACCTCTGAGGGTCATAAAAGTCTCACTAGCTCAGTGGCAAAGTATCCAAAGAACAAACGCGACGAAGGTAGGTTAGACTCCTCGCGGAGCTTTTGGAAATTTCATTTTCTTACCAGCGAAGGGAGCCTTCATTATTTATGGCGGGGGGAGGGCTGGCAAGAATAATGAGGGGGGCCTCAACCATATGGTCGCGGGTACCCGGGGTCATTAGAAAAATTTGGGAATAATGTAGGGGGGGGTCAAAAGCTTTTTGTTGTTACATATCATCTACAAATGTGGGTTTAAGTTTGTAGAATATTTCTACTACCCGCCATACAAGATATAGGGAACAATAGCTAACTTAGCATACACTGGAAAGCTGTTCTTCTTCAAGCTATACACAATACCATACCAAGCTGGACACAGTACCATAAGATATCTCTTATATTACGTTACCCAGTTTGTATCAACTTTAGATTTTAAACACTAGAACTGTATTGTTAAGGTGCTTTTACAATAAAATTATATATTTGAAAGATATTTTTCACTTCTAGCTGCTTTGATAGTCCTAGGGGGGAGGGGGGCTAGCTATTTTTGCAATTACAACTAGAGGGGTCATGATATTTTTAATTCTTATAGAGCAGGATCAGGATATTTTGCTTAGTCTCAATGAAAATCTTGCCAGCCCACCCCCTCCCATAAATAATGAATGCTCCCTAAGTATGGCTAAGTCACTTGAAGGAAAGGATTGTTTATCGTACCTTTAGGTTGCACGCAAGACAGTATCTTTTGGGCCCAAGCTGGCCTCTCGTCCTCTTTCAGCTTTTCATCAGAGATGAGTTCAAGGGTTGGGTCTCCGTCAAATTCAGCCTCTTCTCGTATGGAGTCGGGGAGGGACACAGAGCTGGTAGTAAAGAAAGACATAATAAACTGTTTAAAACAGGAATGTGTTTTCGCATTCAAAAGACCAATAAGATGTCTCTGTCTAGGTGAGAGTCGTCCTCCAAAGAACCCAACCACCATTTAAGCAGAACTGATTATCGGACTTAAGCATGGAATATTTTTTCAGTCGAATGCTATAAAAGTCTGAATTTTGATAACTGACGAGTACATTTTATCACTATTTTTATTGTTTTTATTTTATTACAGGCTTGAATCTGCCTCAGTTTGGACACCTGCCATCGGTGATAAAAACAGAACAGCACCTTAGTTGAACGGAGTCAAAGGACAGGTGCAGACTTAAGGAAGATTGATAAACTACTAAGTCACTCAAACTGTTTCCTTTAATTAAAACGACGTTCTTAAAGGAGAGACCAAAAAGTACACAAGGTCCGCGATAAAAAGCTGCATGCTAACCTGTTTCCTGAATATTTTGCGAAATGCTACATCCATGCATAGCGGTAACAAATCACGGCCGAAAAACATAACATCACCCAGTCAAATGGCCGTTAATCTTTCAAACGTATTAAAACTCTTATCTGAAGCATTTAATTAAATCCTTGAAAAAATAAAATTATAGTCGTTACCGTGCTTACTTTTTTATAAAGTGTTAGCATGATTTTGATTTCAGAAGGCCGGTTTGAGGTGACCAGCTCGGTTCAAGATCAGATTGAATTTGTAATAGCTTCCATTTTTACCTACCTTTGACTACCAGAACCTGTATTTGGGAAATACGAATGCAAAACAGAGCCCTGTTTCTTCATATCGCGTCGTTTAGATCGCCTTCTGGCGGGAGGTCGTGCGGAGTCACTTAAAAGATAGGTTTAAATCACGTTTAACCATAATTGAGAAAACTACTATTTACCACGAGGTTACAGATAGGCTTTTAACTTTACATCTTAAGATTTTCTGCTTGTCCTAGCTTAACCCTTTACTCCCTAACGTCAATATGCATTTTCTCCATACTGTTCTTTATATATTTCCAAAGGTGCTTGCAAAGAGAATTTAACATTAAAGAGCTTCTTTAGTTGGTGATCATTTCTTTTATTCTCATGACCTTGTGTATTATTCAGTGTGAGATCGTAAAAAGAAATTAGATGCTAGGGGTAACTTATCTAGGGGCGCTTCTCATTTAGTGGAGATTATTATTCAGTCCCAACTGACCGTCCAAGATCGGTTCATTTAAAATTCCATCATAATAGTGGTGAAAATTCAGGAATTTGCTGACTTGGGCAAACAGATGTGAAAAGAAAAATTCCTTCGCCGCGTTCAATTAAAAGCCTTTTTTCACGACAAAGAGGATGATTCTAACACCTCGAACAAAGACACTTTCGAAACACTTCAGACTCGAAAGTCTAAATGGACTCCCCCGGAGGGCAGTTCGCATCATTAGACTTTTTTTTATCAAAAAATGCCGCCACGATATCAACAAACTTATTTCAATCGTATCACCAAATTTTCCAATCTCTCTTCTGAAGAGAGGTCGGCTCTAAAAACCCTTAGAAAACGCAAAGACATAGTTATCAAAGCGGCCGATAAGAGCGGCTCAGTCGTTGTTTGGCGTACCGACCTCTACCAAAAAGAAACTTTGCGGCAACTTTCTGACACCTCTTCTAATCAGAAGGTCGACAAAGACCTCACTGCCAGCAATCAAAACACCGTCAAGAATACGATCAACCAACTCATAACTAAACCAGAATTGCCAGCCACAGCAAAAACTCTCCTCATAACTACTCCTAGAACTTCTTGTATTTACTTTCTACCTAAAATTCACAAACCTAACAACCCGGGTCGGCCCATTGTCTCGGCTTGCAGTTGCCCTACCGAACTTATCTCCAGGTATCAAAACAAAATTATGGCTCC